CTTTACCACTCATAAAACTGACAAGAGTTTAAACACCTTAAGTACTAACGATATTACAGTAAGTATACTACCTGGAGATTGTACTGAACTTATACAACCTCTTAATGTTTCCATCAATTACGCTTTCAAGGACATTCTAATGATATGAGGAAGAGGGAATGACAGAGATAAATTTAATGTTTTTTTTTGTTTTTTTCTTTCTATATACACACTATCCCATAGGCTGTCGAAACATTCAGTCTAGTTTAAAATTTGTAACCCTAACTACTTTTAGTTAAGACTACTTGCACGTGATATCAGAATACCAGTAGCAACTACTATACAGGTGACCGCAGCAGGTCAAGTTTAGCCAGAACCTATGGTACCTGCCATACAATGGAATTCTACAAAACAGTCCGGACACAAGGGATAATTACACTCCCGACAACCAAAACTAATTGACCTTATCTTAACTCCTTTATCTACTTTATTTTTCCACTGGCACCAGAGACACCGACTTCGGGTAGGGTGCTGCTCATATAAATGTAAACTGGGGGGAGGGAATAGAATGGGCTGAGGTGGAGGTCTATTTCGGCTGGTGTAAGGAGTAGGCCTTTCGCTGTTAGCTGGAGGTGTTGGGAGTGTAGTTGGCCGTGAAGGTGAAGGGTATGTTGGTTGAGAGCTTGAACCATCCATATATCCACCTTCGTATAATCCAATCTCTATTAACTTGTCAGCTAGGTCTTCCCAGAAGAATAAGTGCTGGCTCCGTCCTTTCCGATTAGGATGTAGGATTTTCGTGATCCTGTAAGTGTTAACAATAGAAGTATCAAGTAGCCAAAAAAAGAAGAGGGAGCTAATTTCAGCAGGCCCTCAATTGAGTAGAGTAGTAGCCTCGTAGTTGATCCGCAATGTCTACCCCACCCATATGGTGATTGTAGTCATCGATAAATACTGGTATTGGAAGTAGCTTGTGTGAATTGTCACTAAATATTTGGCAAATAGTGTTACCATTTGTGCCAGTTTTCTTAGGACAGCATCAAAGACAGTTTACAGTAGCGGATATATCATAATAGCTAGTCATGAAAAGAACAGAATTGTTATCCTGCCAAAACAAGTAGCAGGTATTTGCTTCAACAATGCCACTAAGATGACCCCATGGTAAGCTCTTTTTTGCCTCAGCCTTTTCAATTTTCAGACAAGGTAGGAAGCCACAAGCATCTACCTATGTCGTTCCAGCAACTCCTATACCTATTTTGCGCAACTCTTCAAACAGTGGGATACTGGTAAAGTAGTTGTTAAGAACAAGATTCCGGCAGTGCTCTGCTGGCAGTCGCTTGACCAGTTGGTATACTGCAGAAGCAGTAGGTATTAAATGATCCAATTTAACAAGATTTGCAGTACCATGCACTAGTGAGTACCACAAAAAGCCATAGGTATAGCCACGAGAGCACAGTGCGAATACCTTGTAGCCTTGCTTGATTGGCTTGTTTTTCATTTTAACAGTATTTGCACTCCGACCACAAAATCAGATTATCATCTCATATATCGCTACCTTGGTACTTGGCACATAAAACTGCCAAAAGTGCTCTTGCAGTTGACTAGCTAAAGGCTCTAACTTGTAGTACCAGAGCATGGCCGAAAGCTCTATTCTTGGATCTGCAATATAAAAATATCGTTTGATTTGCTGGAATGGGGTAAGTGACATACAGTTTTTAGGCATTCGGTAGGAGGGAAACTGCGGTCTATTTGGCCGATTTGACTATTGGACTCAGACTCGGACTCAGATTGGCTTTTTGGAAACCTGGTGCCAGCTTGCTAGTGCCCATTTATTCCAGTACAAAAGGAGAGCTGGTTCCCAGTGAAGTCCTATCTTAACGATTAGACCAAACCATACTTTCAATTCTGCTGCAGTTGTCTCCCTCTAGCTCCGTTGTCTAATTCCTATTCCCAGCTGGTTGGAAATAGACTTCCGAGTCTCTTTCCATATACCTCTCCCATTCGCTACCATTTCTTGTTTTAAAGAAGTGTATAGATTTGTATTTACTGCGAGTTCTTCAAATATCTCGGTGGTGAAAAAACAACGAAAACAAGGAGAACGTATCATTTCCACATCCTTCGGGCAGATTGAACTATACATGCGCCTACATTTTAGAATTCACAGCATAATCTTTTCTTATTAGAAGATAGAACTCCCCTACCTTCGCTGAATGTTCGGGATAGGGCGAGCGGAACGTTTTAAACTGAGGCACACCTGTCAGAGTCCCTGCCCCGACCATTTTTCTTACATCTATGGTTTTCCCATCCGATACCTCTCCTCCGAGCCCACTACTGAGACTACTACCAAGTCTCCCAGCCAAGCTCCCCGGTTTAGGCGTAACAGGTAGGGAGACTGCTTCTTCAGAATAAGACTTTGACAGGTATCACCGCCGTTTGGGTGGACTACTAGTATTAGGTCCGGGAATATATGTGGATTGACTTTGCATTTCCTGATACTTCTGCAAAGGCTTTTCTTTTTAGTAGCATCGTAGCTTTGATTGCTGGACACGAGAGTAAATAGTTCTTAATTGGTGTTGTTACCGTAAAGTTGAGAACTACCACCGCACTTAACCCAATGCAGTTAGGGTTCTAAACTTTAAACTGGACTGAATGTCTCGACAGCTTATGGGATAGTTTCATAATAGGAAGAATAAATACCATACTCAATATCATAGATAAGGAAGAAGAAGATATCTTGATAGGAAGAGGAAAATTTACTGGCAGTATAGTAGGATGACGACATATTACAGCAACATGGGCTGTGGGAGAGGCGTATGTGAGGTTCTCCTAGGAGAAGGTAGATATTATTTAGCGATCATTTCAGGTGGTAGAATTGGCACTTCCAATCGATAGAAGTACTGATAGTAAGATCTCTATCAAGGGGATAGAGACAGAATTCCTAGTTCAAGGATTAACAAAGTGTCAACAAGAGGGGAGGGGTACCTTGGTTGCAGGTGGGATGGCCTTGAGGGAGGCTGGTAGAGTGACAGAAAATATGTTGATGAATTGTGAGGAAGAGCTTGAAGACAATGTAAATGTTTTTTTTTTCAATTAGTGCCAAGAACTCTGAAAATAATGATGCACAAGAGGGGATCATCATCCACCTTAGTCTGACTCACCTTAAATCAACTTCTTAGCACACGGTTCTTTTATTAATAGTTGAGCCATGCGAAATTTCGGGGTAACTAAAGCGGTTGCACCCTTAGCGAGATTCCTTACTAATAAACTGCTAATCACTATGAGAAAGCTACCTTCAAAGGAAAGAATCTCGCTGAGTGTGCAACCGGTTTACCGCCTAGCTGAATATACACACCTAGGCAGAGAATTTGTTACCCGGGCCGGTTAGAGATGCAGTACGATAGACCTCAGACACCACCCCCACAGGTATTTCCCGGGAAGCGCATGGATCAGTGATTCAACTCAAGGTTGTAATACTGAGTTAGGAGATCTAGAAGGTACTGTATTATTGAAAGGTGTAACTACGATAATATGGCATCTCAGTACTACTACGACGGCAGAGAGAAGGAAAAGGGTGAAAAAGAAGAAAAGAAAAAGAAAGCCATGGTCCGAGCACCTCTCTAGTATTTCCATGAAAGCAAGACCACCATGCCATACGCCAGAGGCCAGATGCCGTACTTCCCAAAGGACCCAGAGCAAGGAAAGAGCGAAATTTCAAGCTGGAAAGATAAATCAAATTTACTGATCCAATCCCCCGACCCCCTTTGTCGCCAACCTCTGTAGTGCTTCCCCGACTTCCCTCGCGTTCTGATCTATAGCTTTGTCGACGACTCCCAGTTCACTGCCTAATTGTCCGAACATCCAGGCTTCTTTCAGCGAGCGGGTCAGTGCCAGCAGGTCCTCTGCTGCACGGATCTGTGCGTTGCTTGTTAGTCCTAGCAGCAAAAGGTAGGGAAGGAGGGAAGGAGGGAAGAGGGGGGATGCCATCGAAGAAGCGTGGCACTCAATCTGGTACGCTTCTGCGGCAGTAACGGTACGGTCTTTGCCATCGACCTGGATTAATCGGTTAGATACGAGTAGCTGGTCGAGGGGGAACCCAGTGTAGTGGCTGAGGAGGAAGGAGAGCGGAAGGTAATACAGAAGCTAACTGAATGATACTCTCGAAACGTTTCAGAAGAATGTCGAGGTTAGAGTTCACCCGGCCTTTCGCGATCCCCCCCCGGAACAGAATCAGTCACACATGCGCTCAGCGAACATAATCCGCCCCCAAGAGGGGGAGGTACCTTGAAGCCCAGCCCTAACACCCTGGGAAGAATCGCTCATCCTTTGATCTTGTGTGCGGGGGCGCTTTCTGCCCGGAAGTGCGATTCTGTGATCACGCGGGCCAAATGAAGCAAAGATGAACAACAGGTATGATACGACGTGGTGGTTATTGCGGCTATTGCTGGAGTTGGTGCCGCTACTGATCCGAAGCAGGAGGAGGCGGGGGGGGGGGGAATATTAGCGATTGCGGGACCCGATGCAGGCTCAAGCAGACAAGACAAAGTTTGGTTGCACTATTCTGCCAAGGATTGCAAACACGACTGGGGCTTAGGCAGGTCGCGATAGGCCAATTGCCGAGATGCCGGATCGATGAGATCAGAATAGCCACCAGTGTTTGTGTTCTTCGTGATGATATTTGAAAGGCTACGAAGCTATTCAGGGTGATCGCTTTGATTGGGGTTTTCTCATGGCTCAAATAATTATGATCCACCACTTGTACTATCTACTACCATACCGGTATCGAATAGGGCTGTGGCAGTTTGGTTAAGTTACCGGCACAGTAGTCTATGATACTTCGTATGATATCATACTCAGAGTACTAAATTTATATGATACCCGAGTATGCTAGAGGGTCGTGAGTATGAAGCTTTGGCTCTCCTTGCCCATCTCAACCCCAACACCCAACACCCGACGATCGAAAACTACGGGCTCTTTACACATCATAATAATATGATACCTGCGCCACTTGTATGATCCCGTAGTAGAAAGGGCAAAAAGTAGATTATTCTCAGGGCTATAAACTACAAATTTGGTGAGAGCGGAAGCCACAAATCTGTACCACCAAGAAAACAAAGACATTTGCCTTTGGCCGGTCGAGAGGATATTATGAGGCTAGAAGAAAACAGAAACGCAATAAGAGGACACCAGCACAGCAAGTTCACTGCCCCCATCTATCGTACGTATTTATTCTGCAGGACGTACAGTTAGCTAGTGACCCCCAACAGCAGCTATCGGGGTAATGGGGGCACAGATGTATAAAATGCATACCATGAACCGCTTATGGAAGTCCGACCGCAAAAGGTCCTATATGTGCAGTCGGTATTAGTATAGAGTAGAGGGAAACACATTTCTCAATGTATTGGAGCATACATTAACGAATTCCTTCCTCTTATTCTTGTCGTCTGTGCCGCGAGCTTGGTTTTTGAAGATGACATCGTCATCCCACCTATTAATTAATTTATATTTAGCACCCGCGAAATGAGAAAAATGTTAATTAAAAAAAGAGGGAAAGAGAAAGGAAACTCAGGTCCAACAAACCTTCGCTTTAGCTTGAAGTCTGTAGCCGAAGGGTTGAGAAGTGGATTTCCACGAGCAATATCGTATTCTTTCTTTTCTTGCTCTTCAGCAGCTCGTTCACGTTCCTGTGGTAAAATATTAGTTGAAAACTTCCGTAAGAGAGTATTGGCTAAAATCATTGTAGTAGTAGTATACCTCGCGCTCACGCTGCTCAGCCCTCTCCTTCTTGATCTTCTCCAATTCCCGTAGCAATTCAGCAGTTTCGTCCTCATCGTCATCATCGCTGGAATTCCACATACTCAGCACAATCCCGTAAGAGACGGGTGGCGGAAACGAACCTGTCCTCTTCACTGCTCTCGCTATCACTCTCCCCATCCGAATCCGCATCAATGCCTCTCGTCTCCTCTAGGATTCTTCGTCTCTTCGCTTCCAGGCTCTCTTTCCCCTGTTCACCTCCGGCATCATCACCGTCCTTAGAATCCTCAATAGCTCTCTTCTGCCCACTGCCCTCTACCTCCCCAGGAGACCCAGCTCCGTTTGCTTCCAGCGGAGAAATCCCCTTTCCCTTCTTGGCGAAATGCACTGCCTCTGCTTTCAGGAGCTCTGCGCGAAGATCTCGGACTTCACTGTCTGCGTCACCGCCCTGACCAGGTTGCCGGACCTTTAGCTTTGTATGCGCTGGTAGGAGGCGCTGGTGGTATGCCGGCCCCTTGGGAGCTTCTTTTCCGCGGGCAGGATCGAAGGTTGGTCTACGATAACAAACATTAATAAATGTTCCCCATTCCCCCTACTCCTTCATTCCTCCACTCCCGGACAAAACAATAAAGGAATCGCACCTATGGGCTGTAGTCATCGTGGAAAATTTGTCGTTTTGGTGCTTGGGGAAAAAAGGAGAAAAAAGTAGCCTGTAAGGTTAGACGGAAGGGAGGGGGTTGTTAAGATGAGAAGGGTTGCACCGAGAGAAGTTTCTTGGGAGTTAGAACTGACGCTAGAATTTGTGGCTTTGGGAGTCCTCAAACCAGTTTCCCCGCCACACCCGATTCCCTTTTCAGCCACGTTTGGAAAGGTCGCGGATAAACAACCCACCCCCGAGTCACACCGGGCTCGTATGATGCTTAGACTATCTTCCCCCCACCAACTAAGAACAAGTAAACATATCCCCCAACAATTAATCCCACCACCTCTGCTGCTCAAAGTACGACGAAATGCCGAGGGAGATAGATCCGACAATTAACGAAAAGAGCTTCATTCTCGACGCGCTAAACCAAAAGCTCCGAATTGACGGCCGGGACTTGGACTCCTTTAGAGAGTTGGAGCTTAACTTCGGAGATGATTATGGACTCGCAGATGTGCAATTGGGAAAGACCCGGTATGCCCACCACCCTGAATACTACCCCCCTACCTGAATTCCAAAGCTCAATTGAACGAACAATGAACCGCTAACACCGATGCTATCCCAGTGTCCTCGCCCGTGTATCCGCGGAAGTAGTAAAGCCCTTCACCGACCGTCCGTTCGATGGAATCTTCACAATAACGACAGAGCTAGGTCCTATGGCCTCCCCAGCTTTCGAGCCCGGCCGGTAATAAAACTCCCCCCTTCCTTCAACCTCCACTAACCCACCAATCCCAAACACAGTCAAACCGAACAAGAAGTCCTCCTTTCCCGTCTCATCGAAAAGGCCATCCGTCGCTCAAACGCACTAGACACCGAATCCCTCTGCATCGTCGCCGGACAGAAGTGCTGGCAAATCCGCGCAGATGTGCACTTCCTCTCCCACGACGGTGCCCTCGTCGACGCCTCGTGCATAGCCGTGGTGGCCGCGCTCCAGCACTTCCGCCGCCCGGACGTCTCGGTTGAGGGTGAGAAGGTCACCATCCACACAATGACCGAGCGGATCCCCGTGCCCCTGTCTATCCTACACGTTCCCATCTGCGTCACTTTCTCATTCTATCTCGACGGCGAGGTGTGCTTGGTCGACGCCACATTGCAGGAAGAGCAGCTGAGGCAGGGAGACATGACAATCACGCTCAACAAATTTGGTGAGCTATGTCAGATTGCGAAGGCTGGCGGATTGGCCATCAATGGATTGAATTTGCTCCGGTGCGCCAAGATCGCGCTGGTCAAAGTTGGGGAGATAGCCGCTACCGTGCAGAGGCGGTTGGAGGAGGATGCGGCTGCCAGGGTGCGGAGGGATAATCTATTAGAGAGCAAGGCGGATAATGAGCGGGCTTGACTGGGCCCTTAGATTGCAGGTGCTCACCACGGCACTAGGTTGTTCCTCCCACTGATATTGTGACTTTTGGACGCATAGTAATGACTTGTCGAGTGATTGTTTGTGACTAACTCTCGGTGGGGGCCAAAGCGTTATCGCTTCCGACATACCTACCGTATCTAGGCCCTCAGATCCATGACCCAATCAGCTAGGTACTCCCATCATAGTCCATCACTCGACATGCTACCATCTCAGCCTAATACAGGCCCACTCTCTACATCCTCTTCTAAGACAAGCTACAATGATTTCACCGCGCCAATTATCTACCATGCACATCCCTCCATCCCTCTCTAGAACTATACGACCACTCGTGAATATGTATGACTAAAACCAGAAAAGTGAAAAATGAAAAATGAAATAACGGAATTTCTGGCGGATGGAATAAAAAACAAAAATGTAAGCCCAATTATCATAAAAAAGCACAGATACCGAGCATGGGAAGGGTATATAAGAAAAATAACCTAAGGAAGAAGAACCAATGTTTTCGACAATGGATGCACAAGAGTAGAATAGGAGAAACGAGGTGATAATCGAATGCGCACGCACGCACGCACAAACGCGCACACACACAGTAATAATATAGCTAGCACTATCGGACTAAGAATAGCAAGTGGGGTTTCGGTATACAACAGGTGCCGAAGGAAGAAAAGTTGGGGGAGGGCCGACTGTTTACTCAACCTTGCCTTCGGTGACCTCCATCAGGTACTTTACGAACGTCTTTTTGTGAACCTGAACGGATGTTAGTAATATATCTGATGAAGATATCACGGAGGCTTTCGGGATATGTACCACTCCAGCAAACTGCCCATCCCGCAATACACACATGTATCTCAACCCCAACTTGGCGAAACACTCATAAACCAACTCCATAGGCGAGTGTCTTTCCAATGCAACGGGTGCAGGGTCGATGTATTGCGAAAAATATGTTGGGTCCCTCATTGAGTCGTCATCAGATCCTCCATCCCACCACTCGCCCTTAGGCTCCATGCAACACAGCTCGTCTTGCTCAGAGGACTGTAGATTATCAAGAGCAAACTCTAGGTCTGGAGCGGGAATAAGGCCAACAAGAATGTCATTTCTAACAATCGGAAGTCCACCATCGAGTTCTCCGACGGCCTGTAGCATCTGTAACTTTTCGCGAAGCTCGTCAGCAGGAACATAAACCGAATCCGTGATGTCTATCACTCGTTCTGGTCTTGGCCTCGGCGTAATGTCACTAAGCTGAGAAGAAAACACAGGCCGCATTTTTGTATCGAGATATGGATAGGAATTCAGAGCAGTAAGAAGATCCTGACAATTGTTAGCGGAGCATATCTCTGATAGGACAGACGGGAACAAACATAAATGCTTAGGGGTTCGATAGCGTCCGCAGTCCACTTTGATACAAGCACTGCTAATGAGAACGGCAAGACATGATCAAGACTGCCGGTCATTTCGAATAAAATGATAGCAAGTGTTACTGATAGCCTAGTGACCCCACACATAACCGCACCTGCGCAAACCTGCATTTTGTCATTCCTAAGAACCAATAGCAGCACAGATTAAGCAACTTACAAGAGCGTATACGCCTGGAGTTACACAGGCTGACGAGGCTCCACCGACTGGGCATGAAGCGAACATAGGGGAGTGCGGGAATTTACTGCATCCAACATTAATCCTACTCCGGAACCGCAATAGACATAGCCAACTTACTAAACCGCATATTCCACAGCGAGGCCAACAACGTGTCCCATAATGCCACCAATAACCATGGTAGGTACATAAACTGCAAACCAATTAGCTGTTGTGCATGAATAACGCAAACGTATAGATCTACCTCCTGCGGGGACTTTGGTTCCGAATGTAACAACGCTAGTTGGGTTAGTACCTAGACTCAATATCGGAGAAGGGAACATACGTGAGAACACTTTTAATGGCCAAAGCAACCAAAAGGTACAATATAGTACTCGGTATCTCATCGGGCTTCGGGCAGAGTCCTGAGTGATCGGATGGGTTTCCAGAACACGGGCTCGCAAGCTCGAAGAGGAGTTCACTAACGGCCAATTTGACGAATCGGTTCCAGTAGGATACCAAGCCAGTTGCAAGGGCAACAAGACTGAGCTCCAGAACCGGGTGGGTCTTGATAAACCCGTTTCGCCGGAATGTAGTTGCCCAGAATTTACTAGCCTTGATGAAAAAGGCACCATAAACGCCACCACACATCCCCAAAAACACGAATACAAAGAGCTCAAATATGTGCCAATCAGAGGTATACCGAACCTCAAAAAGTACAATCTTGTTTGTCCCATAAGGATTCAGGAATTTCAACGACAAAGCAGCCACCTGAGAGTACGATATAAGTAACGATTCCGTAATTACAGGTAACAGGAATTCACTCACAATGCAACAGAAAAAAGTCCTGAACAGGGTCTTCGAAGGAAAGAAGTAGCTTTAGAGCATTAGATGGTTTAATAGTCATCCTGTATCACGTACAAAACTTACCTGACTTCCTCGAGACTAAATAAGACCCCACCAATCGGGGCACCGAATGCAACCGCAACCCCGCTCGCCGCGCTAGCACTCAGAACCTCCCTACGCTTGGCTTTTGAAGTAAGTAAATCTACAGGTACTGCTTTATGGATCGGTGCGAAGTACCGTCGTTGCGGTTATACTTGGAGAATAGACGACAAGCAATATTTCCTACGCAAGCGGCGATGTGAACATATGGCCTGCAATATATCAGTACACCTGTTCCAGCAGACCATTGAGTGAGATTGAGCCCACCCCTCCTTCCCCAAACTCAGCCCAGAAGCAACGCTCAAAATCAAGGCGAATGATTTAACCACAAGAGTCTTTAAACCGAGATACCCCTTCATGAAATTTAATATAGAAACCTGTAGCCAAAGCCACTAAAGGGAGCATACGTGGAGAACGAATCCGGACAAAATCACTTTGACTTCTGCCACACCGCTGCCAGCAGCAGAATAGTAAACAGTCGGTGAAGCAACAGCAGCCTTCGCTTCAGCACCGGAGCTTCCACCTAGAATTTGCGAGAGGTCTTCGTCTACGGTCTGGATGCGCAGGGTCCCAGGGTAAACCGTGCGAGTAGTCATGGTGAGTAGCGATGAAGCGGTAGCTAGGATCACCGTCAACGTAACATATGCGATATAGTCAATGCGCTCAGTAGACACTTCAGACTTCGTAATTGCCTGTGACCAAGAGCGCCACATAGGGCAGAATTCATTCGCTATCATATCGTTAGTGAATTCCTCTTCTCGCCCAGCACGATATACTGACTGGTATCACTTAAACAGCACTTCTTTTTGCTAAAATACCACCCATCTGTGTAACACCAGGTCTTAGCTCATACTTGTAAAACAACCAAAGTAATGACCGAACGGTCATGCTAACTCACTCGTACAATACCCCTCCTTGTAATCGAATAGGACATTCTCCGTAACGTCTATGAAAAAGGCTATGGAGGCCGTCACAAAGCCAATAATCGCAACCAGAACCCATCCTTGGGCACCGTCGAACCAAGCGTAGACTCTGCCCCGGAAATCCTTGCGAGCCCTCAGAGCCCTCACTCGGTGGGCATCCTTGATCGAGTCGTTAATCCAATCTATGCCAACCGTAAATTTCCATGCACAATATTATGATGGGCTGAGCCGAATTTAGTCGCCGACAGGTGCTTCCGGGACTTACCAGTAGAGGTGAACTATGGGCAAAGTATTAGTAAACACCCCTCACTTGAGCTTCCACCGGTGTGATACCGACCTGATCATACCAAACCCGATCCTCCAAAAGTGACTCATTGTTCCTGTCTCTGAGATCGTAGTTCGATAGGGCCCTGCTCAAACATTGTGAGAATGACGGAACTCTGCTAGGACGACTAGCCATAGGAGAATGTGAGGAGTGATGTCGGGAAAGTCTATGTCGAGGGGTCCCCGGGACTGTTTGGTAGTCCCTCTGATCCCCGGAGCATGATCCTCCAAGCAAGCCAGACTGTTCGTCCTGCTCGGTATCCTTATCTCTGGAGGAAGCAGAGAGTCTTCGACGACTTCTCCTTCCGGCCTTCAAATCTCTCTCCGGGACCCGGCGTTGACCAGGCATACTTCCGATGTCGTCGGCCATGATCCAAGCAGACGGGTAGCAAAAGCCTCGCACTAGATAACAGCAGGGGCAGTAAGGGGAGCGAAACCACTGCGAACAAACCACGAAACTCGGGTAGGATGGTGGAAGGTTTGGCGAGAGGAGCGAGATAGGAGGGGATCAAAGGAAGGAAAGGAGTAGGGTTCGGCACGCGTGATAGTTGTGGCAGATCAGCGGCACCCCGGGGGTGGGACGCAGGCCAACGCCGTCATGAGGTGGATCCCTTAGTCGCACTCACAAATCTAGGCAGTGCTGTAGGATGTGTTTGATTTTCGAAACGGAGGACGGCAGTCTCATGACTACTAACCCCCAGACCAGATTTACGGTAGACTGTCAATTATACAAGATTTCAAAACGTCACGAATAGTTAGATTTTGAAGGTTCAAGAACGTGTTCCCTTCACCAGTTGCACAGCGCAACAACGGCTTTCTTCCAAAATCATTATGGCATAAGTTGCTGGTACGTACTGTACTCGTACTCGTACCAGTACCGGTACTGTGTTCCCAATGAGATAGAAAACCCGGGGCACATATTACTTTGACAGCGGGCTCACCACCTTTCAAAAAGCCTTGGACATTTGAGAAACAAGTTCTTGAGTAATTACTGGCAAGACACTGCAGACCAATCTATGATCACATATTTTTGATAAATTTACTTGCTTTGGGTGCATGAGAAGAGGATCGGGTCAAGGTAGCCACGGCGAACTACCGATATTGAGGGTTATTCTGATGGTAAAATCATAACAAAGCATGCCTTGTATCATAACCCCGTAAGCCTCCCCTTCCTCTTTGGTACAGTAGCACATTTTGGCGCCGCACTTTGGTGGGTGCTTGTTGAGCCGCCAAAAAGTTGGGGGAGCAACATTCACGACATTGTACGAGTAGTGTAAGTAGCATCCCGTGCCAAGACCCGGTGACCCGGATGAACAAATGTGATGAGACTGAGTAGACTACCGGTAGCACGGTATCATACAAGTACCGGTAATACCATAAAGGAGGGAGGGAGGAGGGGGAGGAATGGGAAGGCGGAAGAGAAGGAGGGAGGGTCCACCTCCGAGATGTCTTGATAACTATTCCTACCATATGATACTGCCTCTCACCGCCAGGGCCCACACCAAGAAATCTTTGGTCAAAGTCCGGCAAATTTGCGATCTAAAAAAAAAAAAAAGTGGGGTAAATTAAATGTTACCGCAAGAATGGAGTGCATTTTGTTCTGCATGCATTTCGGCCGCCGATAGCGCAATCGCCCAGCACCTTCTGCCCGCCGGGATAGAAACATTGTGCGAGTACGATACGATATCTGTGCCTCCGAGCAGCCCTTACCAATGCCGGCTGCGCAGCACCCACTCTACCTACCTCCCTTGTCCATATATATATGTACGGTATGATACTCGAGTACCGCTACACAAGTAACCATACATTCCTAAACGTGGGGGGTTACTGCAAAATCCGGCTCTCCGGTTAATCCCGTTCTGAGCAAGGATCCATCCCGAATGCCCTACAAGTACAAGTATGACACTCGAGTAGTGGAGTTTTGTTTGGCAAAATAGGCAGATGGGCGGAATCTTTTTTACACCCTTCCCCAGTGTGTGGCTATGATACTCGAGCCCTCGTTTCTGGTGAGATATATACTCTCACCAATAGGGTTTGGAATTTGGGCTTGGAATTTCTGGGGCCTATTACCTTTTGCGCCATATCACACTATAAAAGAGGCCGGGAGGGTACCGGCAGTGTAGACAAACACCGTCTACGGCGCAACCGGCTTTTCCTAGTATGGCGTTTGTGGATTACGACAAGATCGTTCTCTTCGGAGACTCGATCACTGAGCAATCATACGAGCAGGAGAGGTAGGTTCAATGCGCTCAGGAATGATATCAGATTCCGTGGTGCTGATTCTGGGTTGTGCGGATCAGAGGATTCGGATTTGGTGCTGCTCTTACCGATAGTAAGTGCTGATCTGATACCGCCCGGAGCTCCCCCCACTCAGGTTGATCGATTTTCCCAGTTTATAGAAGAAAAATCGATGTGGTTGGCAGAGGATTCAGGTTCGTTCGGGACCGCATACAAGTGGGATGCCGGTGATTTTGCTAAAACCTAGCCTTCAATCCCGGAATGCCCTATCACGTAGCGGATACAACACTCTTCATGCATTGGAGCTTGTCCCGAAGATCATACCTCCGCCTACCGCAACTTCAAGGATAAGACTCATTGTGCGTTTCCTCCCTTTTTTGGTTATCATATAATATCTTACCCAAGGGCATTCCCGAGACGTTTTCTGATCATTGATGATAAGACCATTTTCTTTGGCGCAAATGATGCTACACTCCCCGATAGGTCGCAACATGTCCCTCTTGACCAGTACGCTGAAAACTTGAAGAGAATCATAAATCATCCTCTGCTAGTGGTCCACAGCCCGAAAATTGTTCTCATTGCCCCTCCCCCAATCTGCGAATATCGCACACAAGACAGTGATCTTGCGAAAGGGATTGTAGGTATACAGAGGCTAGCCACCAATACGAAAAAGTATGCCGATGCAGCACTGGAAGTCGGTAAGGCTCTCGGTATCCCTACCGTAAACATCTGGGGGGCTTTCGTGCAGTATGTTGGGGGGTGGGAAGAGGGAAGCCCGCTCCCAGGATCAAAGGAGCTCCCAAAGAATGAGAAATTTGGAGAGCTTCTCAGGGACGGTGAGGGTTTCTATCCATGACTTGTCAGAAGAATGGTGGGAGAGGCTGAGCATAGCTCATCCCGTGCCCGGTTGATCTACTGCGGGGTGAATTGTGGTGGAATATCAAAGCTGACTGGACCCCTAGGGCTTCACTTCGGGCCAAAAGGGTTGGTGAATCACAATCCGGACTGCCTTCGCATCCGAAAGGTTGCGAGCACAATACTCGAGTATAGTTTCCCGCTAACACCTTGCTCAGGTACCAGATTTTGTACGACCTAGTTTTGGGGACCATTCAGGAAAACTTTCCTGAACTTGCCCCCGAGAACTTGGGACTCGTATTCCCGCACTACGAGAATGCTCCAAAATGCAATTTCTACTCATACACCTACGACCAAGCTTGATGTGCGGTCGCCTCACGGCCAATTAGTGCTTGCGGGAAGGATTCTAGACAGGATGGAAGCCCGTATCATTAATATTAGCCTTAGCTGTGGTTGGTCGACATTGGAGCGAGCGGTTAGTCAAGAAAGCCATTATTATCCAATAACTTATTGTAGCAAGCACAGTTGCTATACCATTAGCCTGTTGTACCGTGATGTAGGCGTGCACATTCAAGCGTCTCACTCCAAATGAATGAAATCTGCTCCGCGGCCCCCGGTACTCGAGTACAGCAGACGTCCTATCCCAGACTGGTATTGTTACAGTACCGGTACCACAGTAGAATTCAAACGCTGTATCGAGCATCACTGGGCTGGTGTAATTTTAGACTTTAGATCTTTCCCCTGCACTCGAATAATGCTACCTCGCCGCTCATTACCTAGTGCGCGATTCTCACTCTAGAAGTTAAGGCGCTGTTCTTCAATCCACGGTATTGTGTAGTACGCGTTTTGTGAGAGAAGCTTCCATCGATCTTCACACCAATACGGTACTGTAATGCTCGCGATTAGATGATAATAGGTTACACCACTAGGTTGGCAGGAGTTTCAGAGCATACTCGAGTAAAGTAACTCTGCAGATCCTCTGTCATGGCCCGTGCAGGCAGGAGGATAAGACCATCTTCCCCAAAGCCAATTTTGTATCATATTTCATCCTAAGATCAGATTTGTGGCGAAGTAGTCCTAGCATTTCACGCTTGGTCTGCACGCAGCAGAGTGGCGGGATCGCTTTTCACAATACCAGTATGATAGTTGCTTAGGCTGCCCGGCGGGGGGGGGTAAGAAGGAAGGTTGAAACTGTGGCTGTGCTGTTTCCGTTTGCTTATGTTAGCTCGTTCTTCTCTCTAGCCACACGTGAATGATAATCCGAAGAATTTGAGAGGTGCGCGAGCTCCAACTCGCGCCCTTCATCCAACCCTCCCTTCAGACGAATTTTCGAGCTTCCTTCTCCCCAGCAAGACTCCATCCAACTTGTTATTGACTTTCGTNNATTAAGATTCTTGCAAGGCGGGGCATCCTTCTTATTCTCCCGACCGGCTGTTCCTCCTACGTTTCTTGTCCTGCGGCAGAAATTGCAAGTAACAAATCCTTTACCAGTCTCCGATACCCAAAACCCGGGCGGAAAAAAGAAAGAAAGAAAGAAAGAGGAATTTCTCCAGAGGGAACAGAGCCCCGGTTTCCCGCGGTCACCATCTGCAAACCTCCGTCTTATCGGCGTCTCCCCACCTTCGCTTTATATCATAGCTATCCATCACCAGTGCCGTATCTTCTCGTGGCCCTTGCAAACGCCTCAGCGCAGTACCTCTACAGCCCCTATACCTTTAGCTTTGGTCAGCATTGTCGTACTTTATCTTGACACACTCTTCCGGTCGTTTCACTATTCATAAGGTTACATTCAGGCATCCCAAACCCAACTCATCCCTCTCTACTGTGGAGACAATCCGTTCTTCAAATAATTACAGTACTCTAAAATTCGCTAAGAGTGTTACGGGGATTATTGTACAATCTCGCCTCTTCTCTTCCGTCAAACAGCTTGACCCTAGCTTGCTAGCACCTACACTATATACCACAAGACTGCATCGCCGACTGCGGAAGAATATTGCTAGTAAGGGGGCCATTCGGGGGTGAGGTTGCCCTCTGAAACGGCTGTGCATGTTCTCCTAGAGGATGGATACGTTCAATCACCCTCAGCACATGTGGGGGTTGCAAGAACTACAAGACGAGATAAGGTTGTTGAAAGCCTCCCAGTTCGAGCACGCCGAACGTCTCACCCAGCACTCCGAGAGACTCAATAGGCTGGAACAGCGCCAGGATGAATCGAGGATACGTTCACTCTGGAGCACGCCATCTCCTTTTCCGCCAATGCTTAGCTCCAACTCGTTTGCACAACGTAGGCCTACATTTCTGGGTTTCCTATCCGACCTCTTTATTCCTAACCCTCAAAGTCTTTTATCTTTGTCGAGCTAACGCCCGGTTCTTTGACATGCAGAAACGAACAACCCTGAGCCACCAGAAGATTTCGGCAGTTTCGAGGAACACCAGCACAACTTATTGGCAGGGCTGCAGCTGGATGAAGTCGACGTGCCGAGGAGGGGTGCGTCTAGGGCAAATAGTGTACGTTTTGATGACAGTGCTATTCAGAACCACTGGATTCATGATCCTCAAAGTTCGAACGACTATTTCGGTCATCGGAATAGTGGTAGTAGCTTAGGGGGTTTCCCCATGACTGAGAGATCTTCCTCCCATAAATCTGACCATAAATCGGATGGAAGGCAAAGCTCAATGCGTTCCTATGGGGATAACAGCTCCTTCTTCGAGGGTGAGATCAATGGTGGTGTGCCTTTCAATCCTCCACTTCAGAACCTTGAACTCCTTGATTGCGAGACTCACCGATCTCCTGCCCCACCCTCTGGGCCAGCACCAGCCATAATTCGTTGTTGGCCTGACCTTACGTCCCCTCCCACCCCGCCTTTATACGCTGTTGTTTGCACTGGCTCTGTCAAATCTTTGATTGATATATCATTGATCACTCAATTTGGGTTACAGGATCAGGTCAATAAGGACACGAATGGTGAATGCAAGATCAACCTATCCTTGCATCTCCCTGATGCTACCATTCAACAGCCAACAAGGGGAGGCGGGCAACACAGCCTCCCGCCACTCAACATTCGATTCAGCATAATGCCCAATCGAAAAGGGGATTCTGGAGAGGGAGATGAGGTGGGAATTTTTCTGGGAAGTGACTTCATGTCAGATCACATGGGCGATGTGCTATTTTCCCAGAGTCAGCTGCTGTTGCAAGTAGATGATGGACGGAAAATGTTTGTTCCTTTCCATCGCCCGGAGGCCCAAGTATGTTTCTCGGATGTCTGTACGACACACATTGGTGACCAGCTCTCGGGGGATCTCCTGGGCCCTTTGATACAAACGGAAGGCCGCCAGGAACAGGGTACCACTTTTATGAAACGTAGCCGGTTCGACGAACCCGATGCACCCGGGATGGCTATAGATCTGCAAAGATCTCATATTCCTGTGTCATCGCCGAAGCCTGTGCGAGGGCGGAAGGCTTCCGTTATAAGCAGAACAACAATGACCTCCCCTGAATCTTCCTTAGAACCTGATGATACGCCAAGAAAGTATACCGGTGTTAGGAGAAACAGTATATACTCGGTTGGAAGTGGCATAGAGAAGAAAAGGGAAGAAGATCGGAAGGGGGGATGTGGGGTCAGGCTTGATCTGGCTGACGATGTTGGGACATCTTCAAATGAGGAGGAGGATGGGAAAGGCTCATATTACGCTGAGCGCAGGACTAGGAGTGATGGGGAAGGGGGAAGCTTGTGGAATTCTAGTACTGCCAAATCTATGGAGGTGACAACTGGGAACACGAAGGAGGGAGGACCGGTTTGGGATTCCTGGAGAAAAGTAACCATTCAAGGAAGAGACGACAGCGGTACGGGAACAGCCAAGACATCTCGGGCGTCTTCCCGTGGAATGAAGGTTTTACGCACATCGAAATCGTCTTCTCTGTCCGAGGCGAGAGCCACTCATCAAACAGATGATGTCTCCGGTGGAAATAGTTCGGTGGAGCTTGATAATGCTCCTTCCACCGTTGGCCCCATGCCCCGTCCTCTAGGAGGGGGTTTTTCTAAAACCGATTCATCATTGAGCGCTGGAGCAGGTGGAAATTGGGATAAGACGGTCAGCCGCCCCCAGCGTAGGGTTAGCTCGGCGGAGGCGGGAAACTCTTTCCCTAAAGGAGGGTCGATTCATCCGTCCAAGGCGAAGTCAACAAACGTAGTTGGAGGTGCTTCGGCTTTCCATTGGATGACTCCAAAAACATCTGCTCAGACCACAGCCGAATAGGCAGCAATAGAATGGCGACAAGCCTAAATTATCAGAATGGGCCGGAGCATTTTTATCTTTTTTTATCTTCCCCCCAAAAAAAAGGAAGGTTCCTTGCGTAGAGCGCTTTTTTTTTCCCTTCAAATTCTAGCATTTGTAGTATCTTTGCTTGGATCTTTTTTTTTTTCTGCTCTTGCTCCAGGTGGCTTTCGGGTTTTCTTTAAATGTGCCTTGAATTCATTATTAGAAGGCCTTCACGGAAAATCACTTGTCATATTCATCTGTACTGTACTTTGCAAGGTTTCGCGGATGGCTGGAGGGAGGGGGGTTATATTTAACCACCCCCTTTTTTCTATCGTTTCTGTTGATATTTCCCGATGAAATTCATTCTGGGGATGGGGAGGAGCAGTAATAGGAGTGAGGCTGGATGTTTTGCCTGTAGTTTTTCGTGGGAGGAGGGCCTAGGAGGGGCTAGGAGCAGAAGGTAACAGGAAACTAAATGCATTAGACAGCCACTTTCCATAATCTGGGCCTATGCTTCCCAAGGGAACATCCAGAAGGCTATTTACTTGCACGTCGCTGGGGCAAAGCACAGTAGACCAATAATGAGAACCCACTCCCAACCCAGCCTACAACTATTTACGACTGCTACAAAAGTGACTGAAGCGCCAGCGTCGTCGACTCCTTCGACTCCCTCACCAACCCCACCATCTGGCGGAACCTACAACCGCATCAGCCAACATTCCTCCCCCTTACGAACATCCATACTGTATAAGCTATTATACTCACTCGGAAATTTTGGCATCACCCATCACCTCATACATCCAACTCTCACTCGTCGTGACCACCGCGCCCTCGCGCCGCATCCTCTCCAAGGCAACAGGTACCTCCTGCCGGTTACAACTCGACACCCCATCAGCAACGACATAAACCTCATGCCCCGCGGCCAATAAGTCAAGACAAGTTTGCAGCACGCATATATGGCTCTCTATCCCGACTAGCGCGACGGACTTCTTCTCGCCATCGTCGCCGTCCTCGTCGAGGCGTGCGCGGAGCTCGGGCGTCATCATGCTAAAGAGGGACTTATCTAGGACCTTTGCATTCACTAGGAGCGGGTGGAGTTCCGGGACCAGGGGGCCAAGTTTCGAGGCCAGTTGGGTCGTGGCGTACGTTGGGATTTGGAGGATTTGGCCTACGGTAGTGGGGGGGGGGGTTAGTACAGTAAAGGATGGAGGTGTTGGTATGGGGGTTTGTGTAAACGGACCGACTTTTAGTAGTTTTTGGGCGGTCAAGACGCTAATTGGTAACTTAGCTCAGCTTCAACTGGGTTGGAGGAGGAAGGGGGGTGGGTGGGTGGGAAGTGATAGGTAGAAACCATTTGTCGAATCCGTATATCGCTGTACGGAATTTCTCTTGGAGATCGCAGACGCTATGATACGTGCACAGCTTGGGCGTTAGATTATCGCAATTTCTTCTGGGGTGGGAGAGGGGGTATGAATACAAGAGTACTGGATTATCTATTATTATTATGTCTCGGATTAGTACGATATCTCTATTTGCGTATACGGTAGGTTTGGGTGAACCCTACTTATTCTCCCGCGTAGAACCATTGTGTCGTTTCTCGGAAAATTAATGGGTTAAAAGTTTGTGAATGAGATGGTAACTGTGATGATGTGCCCGGAGCGGGAAATCTGGATGGTGGAGTGGTAGCTTGGTATTGTAGTCTAGACTCTACTCGAGTACTCATAGAGTGCGAGAACTAATCGGGACCTTGGGGAGGTTTGCGGGGAAGACGTCACTTATCGGGTTTATTGGATCTGATTAGATAAATTAAATGCGTGGCACTGGTCAATAGTGGTCTACCGTACTATCATAGTTCACCTGATTACGTAAAACAGTGTTTGCATCACATCTCTCACTCGACGCAAACTTTTTTTTATTTTTATTTTTATTTTTTTTAAGAAAATAGAATGGCATAATAAAAAGCTTTAATCAAAGCGCTGCATACAATACAAATGGGTCGAGACTTTACAGGATCCCATTTCCACTCTCGACAGGGGACCTCTCAGACAAACCCAAAAGAGTTCCCTTGCACCCTCACCTTCTCCAGAAACTTGAACTCTCCCTTATCCAGCATGTAGAGGTACCTCTCAACCAACGAGCTCAGATCCGTCTTCTTCAGTAGTACCTGCACGTCCGACTGGAAAAACTCCTTGGCTGAGATCTTCTTCGCGGCCTCACGCATGTCCTTGATGACCTGCATCACCTCGCGCTCGGTCCGGAAGCCCGGGCGCTTGTCGGGCGGCGGAACCGGGTGCAGCGGCGCATCATAGTACTCATACGGCGGCGCGCTGGGCCCGTTCCGCCTGGTGATGGTGGGGGGGTGTGGAGCATAGAAGGCGTCGAGACGGCGCACGAGGTGGCGCACTTGGACCTTACACCAGAGTGTGGCAAGTTTCTCGCCTGGAAGGGTGGCTTTGGTGTTGGTATTGGTACTGGTGTTGGCGATGGTGCTGGCCTTCTGCTTAGACAGTTTGATGATGGTCGGGTTTATGGGTTTCGTCCAGTTGTATGGCGTTGGTGTCCAGGAGTGTAAGACAATGAAGTCCCAGAGGAAGGATATACATCTTTTTCCCCTCGCATCCGGTTAGCAACTTACTTGCTTATCGATCGGTAAAGAGATTAAACAGACGGGGGAAGGGGTCAAACTTGGTCACATCCTGTGGTGCCTGGAATCTCATACCCTCAAAGTACCCCGGACTCAGCGTCGAGATAAACTTATTGACCCAGTCGATGCAGAAAGTTCCAAACTCATTGCTCCAGCCATTCAGCAACCAGATCATGCATGGGATACATTCTGTGAAGGATTTCCCTCTAAAATAGTAGAGGACGCGTTTCTGGAAGACCAACTCATGATACTCGTCTTGGAAGTCACGGGCGTGGTACGTATAGATTTGGAGGGGAGTTCCTCTAGGGATTAGACCGCCGTCTGAGGCGAAGCGGGCTGAGGCAAAGGCTTTCGCAGCGGTCGGGGACAGCCCGGGGAGGTTTAGTTCCGGGATTGCGTCCATTGGTAGTTGTGTTAGAATTGGATCGTGTTGAGAGTATGAGAGTTGATTCGCCCAGCGGGTTGGGGAGAGGGATGTCGCTTCTGGTGAGGAGGGAAGTCAACTTGAACTGGAAGAGCAAACTTAATATCATAAAGGAATGAGAAGGAATAATTTTTTTATTTGAGGGTTCCGGTGCTTTTTATCATCGGGCACGATAACCCCAAACTTCCCAGAAGCCAAAAGGAATCTTGCGGCCCAGGGCTTCAGCATGTAGCGCTCTGTGTGGAAGTGCGAATATCATACCGGCCGCTCTTGTTTTGATTGCAAAACATGATATTATGGCCTCATATTAGACATCCCATCTAGGTCTGGATAAATGGTTTTCATAGTGAATCACTCGATGGAACATATTCTGTCACTCGATGTTTTCATTTCTCTTGGATAAAAAGTGAGCAGGTGAGGGTGAGGGAACATTGAAATAGAGAAATAACGTGGCGTAAGAAAGAACCCCATTTGAGCAAAAGGAGGAAGAAACACTTACGCATGGTAGCCGCAATAGCCATAGTATAGGCCCGCAAGTTGTGATAGTTGTATGGTACTCCAATGTGCAGTCCACGAGCCTCGAGCTACAGAGTACACATTTCTAGGGTATAGGCGAAAGTAATGTAATACCATGACCTGAGTTGCACAATAGCTTCCCTCGGCGCACAGCTCTTTTTTTCACCTACGATATTCCGTCTGTCCTTACGTCCTTCCCTGCCCCCCTCCCGTCCACACCCACCCACCATCCCCCACTCCACTCTCCCCCATTTGCAGTCGCCTCCAGCTCACCATTCCCCCATATTCCTCCCTCTATTTCCCTTTCTCATATCTCCTCATTCGAATAAACAGTAGTCCTCCGGGAGGGGGACCCTTGCCCAAACAAGTATGTCATCCTTCCCCACTGACCCCGACCACGTCCCTTGCGACAAATTTGACCCTCGTTACCCCTGGGACCCCATCATACCCTCGGACGAAGAAATGGAGGCCGACGCAAAAATGGAGCAAGATATGATCCTGGCTAGAAAACCTCGCGAGAAACTTGAAAGGGCTCAGGGAAAAAGTGTCATGTCACTCCTTGCTCCTAAAGAACAAACTGCGAAGCTGGCGGCGGTTCCAGGACCCCGAGGATTGCAAACGGAACTGGCTGCGGTGGTAAGTCCAGATGGTAAGAGGTCTAGTGGTGGTGGTACCCGGATTTTTTCAGCATCGGCCTTAGAAGGTCGTTCTACCGCTAAGGTTCGGGGGAGCGATAGATGTACCTCCTTCCCCGTCTCGACACCTAGCTCTAGTTCTGTGTCTGCACCTAGTATGCCGGGGCATGTGCCTCCGTTGCTTGCTCGCCCGCTGGCGACTCCTGCGATTGCTTCACCTGCGTATATACCGCCTCTTACGAGTAGTCCCTTTCCTACAGGGACACCAAAGGATATTACCACTCAAATAGCTGCCAAAACTCCACTCTTCACAAAACCCCTGCTTGAAGGGCACAAGCTAGCTGACTCAATTCCAGTCCCGGCACTAAGGAGAAAACACGGATCCGCCACAGACACCCCCCACACAAGGACACCTCAACTAGTCGCTCCTACAGCTTCACCCTCGATCTGTGGGCCTAGTGGGGATGTTGGCAAGCCTACACAGACTCCCTTGACTGTTTTAACCCCCCAGCTGCTACCCAACCCGACTCACGGTCAGGCGGCTACCCCAACCCTCTCCTCCTTTAGTCTCCCCCTTGGGCTGGCTAGCAAAAACGCATACATCTTCAACGTCAGTTCCCTGTCCAAACCGGCTTACGGCCGAGAATCCCACCCACAAATTCCCAATGCAGTAGCAGACCACTAATTGGCCAAGCAGGAAGAGGATGAGCATCGCAAGCGAGAGTTGAATCTGCTGGGCTGGTGCTCTTCTGATTCAGCGGGTGTGACGAAAGGGGCGGAGCGTGCTCTTGAAGGTCGTCCACCTTCCCAAGCGGCTGTTATAGACCCTTTTGGTCCTGAGGATCCGCACAGTCATGGGTATTCGTCACAAATAGGAGGTAGTAGTAGTCATAGCAGAGTTCCGGGGCCAAAATCTGGGGGCAGTTCTCCTAAGCTAGCGTATGATAATAGCAGAATTACAAGGTCAAGATCTAGGGATGACACTTCGGGGTCGATACCGTTTTCAGATCCTCTCCCGCAGCAACATAGGCCCTACCCCCACCTAGGGGCGTACTTGTCGAGAGATAGCAGTGTTCAGTATCGCAGAGAGCTTCGACCGGAAGCTTCCCCTGGTCTCCCTAGGATCCCTTCCAGGCTGGGACAGCAACAATGGGACAATGGGGTTCAGGGGCAGGCCCGGAACCAGCGAGATATTCCACCCCGGGCACGGAGTGCTAGTCCTGTCACCCTTCCTGCTACTCCCCGTTCCTGGAACCCGGGCGGTGAACCCAATAGTCTGAGAGTAGTATACCCACGCCGCCCTTACCCCATGAGAAATACGCAAGAAACACCAAGTAAGGCTGCCCCCATTAGGCCCACTACCAGCGGTGATAGCCAATCCGCAGGTGCCGGTGCTTCAACTAGTGGAGCCCGGATTGGGTGTGACCAGTGGGGCTACCTAATCGCCCCGCCCATTCCCACCGCTACTTATCATGCTCAACCTCCACCCAATGTGCGTTCAACCTCCGGCTCGCCACCATACAGCCCACCACCTGGGATGTCTGCTACACCCTCAACCAGATCTGCCGCTTCCAATCGTGGCCCCCGCATGCCTTCCGAGACCCCCTCCTACGAACCCCCAGAGGCTTTCGTCAGGAGCGATCGCAACTCACCAAGCTACCACCCGCCCAGTGAGGGGTATGCCGGTACCTATCCCAGTCCTCCTCCGCAACCACCAGGACAGCGCCAGACAAACCGTCAATCTATGCAGCCTCCGTCTCGTCCCAGTGAGAGTGGACTTACCCGCACCAGGAATTCACCGGCTCCGAGCCCTAGTGGGGTGAGGGTTAGGGGGATTGCATCCGAAGTAGAAGCAATGGCCCAGGCTCAAGCTCAGACTCGGGCTCAAACTGGAGCTCGGGCGCAAACTCCGGATTACCGTGGGCTCGGGCGAAGGACAGGCAGAGCTGCAGATAATGCCGTGACCAGGTTACCAGCGTCGAGAACCCTTTCTAGGCGATTGAGGAGGAGGAGAAGTGAGACTTCTATGAAGGGGCGAGCCCATCACCTTCCTCATACTCGTCGGCGCTAACTATCATACCTGCCGATACCCGGGTTTCACCTTGTTCAGTTTTCTCTTTCCTTGCTGCCCGATTCCTTATCTCCTGCCTTGACGATGACAGGCTCGACCAACTTGCCGCCCGCACACTCGCACAGACTAGTGAGACGCGCTAAAAGGAAACCGCCCAGGTAAAGTTAGATAAACCTAAATTTATGATAAACCCACATGTTCAAAAGCAATGTACTCGAGTATATGTGTACCAAATCAATTCTATCAAAACAAACTCAATCTGCAAAAGTAGTCATTCTCCACACTTCCATTCTTTTTTTCTCCATTCTAGTCCATTCCGACGTACTTTGGCAGCTAATATACCTATCCTCGTTGCTGCCTGGCCAATATGTCAGCTCCCATCCTTTTCCCCCTTCAAGTATCCTTCAAGTATGAGTACTAGGGAATAGTAATCAGTAGGCTAGGGAATCTGGGGTTTTTTTCCCTTTCACTCCCCTTTCAAGTTCCCGAGAAGAGAATAGGGTGGGCGGGCAGTAAGGTGATAACGTTGGTGCGTGTGTGAAGGAGGGAGGATTGGGAGTCTATATAAGCTTCACAGCAAACGGGGTACCAGTGCTGGCATATACGGTACAGTACAGTTCAGTACCGGCAACGCCTTGCGCGTCCCTACAGTACCAAGGAGCTACTGTACAGTACAGTACCCGTATTATTCGTGCTTACTCAAGAAAGTCACTCAACCACAAAACTAGTCAACCAACCGACAAAAAACCTACCCTCAAGAATACCACATAAACATCATAATGTCTACTGAAAAGAAGGAAATCGTTGTCTTAGGGTAGGTATATTTATTCCCCAATTATACGGTGGCAGGGGGCACAATAGAATCCTAAATGCTAATAATTGATAGAGCTGGAGTAATTGGTCTGCAAACCGCCCTGACCCTGCTCGAGTCTGGATATTCGGTGACTATCATTTCCAAGTATTGGCCTGGGGATGAGCATATCAACTACACCTCCCCAAAGTATTTTATGCCTTTTCACTGAAACTCTGTCGCATAGGTTCCGATTGGCTAACTAGTGATGTGCGTGTAGAGCTGGAGCCGTAAGACCCTACCCACCTACAAAAAGAGACAGATAGATTTAAATATTAATGTAATGCACGAACAGCACTGGAGAACTCACGCCGGGCCCGACGACCTCCAGGGCCAGCGCTTTGACAAAGAGACCTACGAATACTGGCTCGAGCTCGTAAAGAGAGACGAAGATACAGGACTCGTCGTAATCCCTCTTTCCCCCTTCCTTCTCCTCTATTCTACTCCCACTAACCACCTTAGTTAATTCCCCTAATATACATCTGGGACCACCCAACCCCCGAAACCGCCAACTCGGGCGCATCGATATGGTGGTCAACGCTAGTCCCCAACTTCACCCCGTTAACCCACCCGCACCCGCTCCTCCCGGCAACCGCGCACTTCGGCATAATGTACAAGTCCTTCTGCCTGAACCCTCAGAAGTACCTCACGCACCTGCTCTCCCGCAGCGCTGATTACGGCGTGAAAACGCACACACATGAAGTCGATACCCTGACTGAGGTCTTCGGGTACGTCCCTGACGCAGTCGGCGTTGTGAACTGTACTGGCCTGGGAGCGATAGACCTTGTTGACCCGGTTGAGGCGGAGAAGCTGTTCCCGACGAGGGGTCAGACGATACTTGTCCGGGGGGAGGTGGAAACGGGAAGATTGAGGGTTGGAGAGGGGTATATTGCCTACGTTATTAGACGGCCGGGGGAGGGGACAATATTGGGGGGGTGTAAGGTGGATGGGGACTGGAATGCTGAGGTTGATAAAGAGTTGTCGAAGAGTATTGTTGAGAGGTGTAAGATTTTGGCGCCGGAGCTATTGGTTGATGGAGAGTTTGAAGTCATTTCCGAGCAGGTTGGGAGGAGGCCAAGTAGGAAGGGAGGTCCCAGGATTGAAGTTGAGTGGAAGGAGGTTGAGGGGAGGAGATTTATATGTCATCACTATGGGCATTCTGGTGCTGGGTGGGTGTTCTCGAAATAATGGGCATAATCACGGACTGACCCGCGCTTTAGATATCAGAACTCGGTAGGTTCAGCAAGGGAAGCGGTGGCATTGATCCAAAGGGAGTTGGAAAAGCGACAATGATCACAATGGGTTAGTGCAGCCAAGCAAGTTACCAACTCTCATAAGCTTGATTGAGCAGTCCTAAAAACCTAGACTACACAATTCCTAAGTAAACTGGGCCGGTTCCTCCTTCACAGCAATTTTGTTTCTATGCAAAATCCAGCCCTATCCAAATTCCTATAAAACTCTGGGGTGGCAACAGTAGCAGTAGTGAGCATACCACAGCCCAATTTCCTCGCCTCGATGCCCTCATCAAATAGGATACTCATGGCGACCTGTACCATCAAGGCTCCGGTGCATGTGTATGGGTCCTTTTCATACGTAAGTCTCACAAAAACCTTTTTAGGATCTTCACTATCGTCGTCAGCCTCCGCTACTCCTCGGTATTCCATTCTGTACTTTTCCATCTGCCTGGAGCCTCAATTAGTACGCAAAACGCACAATATAAGCGAAGTTAAACATGTAGAGTAACACAGCAACATACTCAGCCGTAGGACCTTCTCCGGGCTGAATCAACCTTCGAGCAAGCCACCTATATCATACCATTAGCAACAGCTCTCTAGCTCTGCGTAAACGGTGTTCAGGTCATACCTGAAGGGAGCAAAAATCGGGAGTACCGTGATCGAACACATCATTAAGAACCAGAATACCGCGGAAATCCAGTTGCTCGCTCGGCGATACTCCATGAAATTGAAATTCTCCCCGTAGTACTGCCCCCTGTCAAATGTTCCCCAACTCCGATATACGTAGACGGTATCTGGGACAGCTTGAATCCATTTTGTAAGAATCCCCAATTCAGGGTGTCTACGCATTGGCCACGCGAACGGAAGGTCATAGCCTCTGACAGGTGAGAGGGCATAAGTTCTGGTTGCGTGGACTACTTCCTGTAGAGTAGAGTGTTCCAGAAGGGACATCCCGGACTGTAACCCAAAAATTAGAACCAGAGTAGTTGATGTAGAGAGCCATAATTTACCTCTAGAGTTCCTCCGCTCATTCCTGCTCTATGAGAAGTTAGCTTCAAATCTGGAAACAATGAGAAGGGTGGCATACTTGAGTTCGTGCAAGCAGAATGTTACATCTCCAACCGGGCAATTGTAACTGTCCCGCATGATCTTGACAAGGGTATGAGCAGCCAAATCAGCGGGGGCAGATTCCATCCCGCACTGGGGAATCATCTATTCTTCCAGTCAGCAAACCTATTCTTCGCCGAGAACTTTCGCAGAAACACCACAAACGAGTTCTTCACTCACAATAGCACCATTAGCCTTTGCCGTCTTGTGATATTTGTCCACAATTTCCTTCACCCAAGTAATCTCCCCGGTGGAGTCGACATAATGCGTCCCATTAACCGCACAGGCTTCCACAACCGCAGTCCCATACCGAATAAAGGGCCCAACAGTAGAAACCAAGCACCGGGTAGCTCTAGCCATCTTCTCGAGGGCATCTTCGTCAAGGTCGGCAATAAAAATTCCTGTATCACCCAAGACCATATTAGCGTGTCTATCAATCAAATCAGTAAATTGAGCTACGACGCACCAACGGGAACACGGTCCGGGAACCTCCTATTGAAGTCAGTGGCCAAGAGCTCGAGTTTATGAGGGGAGCGGCCCGCGATAGCCCATTTTAGATCCGAGGGGGTATGTTGGAGGACTTGTTCTGCCGTGAGTCTGCCGGTATAACCTGAAGCGCCGAAGACGATGAGGTCGTATTTTCTTTGAACATGTGGGAGAGCCATTGAACTGTTTTCTCTTTCCTTCTCCAACTTTTTTTTTTTTTAACGGAGTATTTCTGCGATTGGAACAGTAAAGGGGGGGGGGAGAAGAGGAGGGAAGAGAGAGTGTGAAGATTCAACTGAAAGAGAGGTGGGGGAGAGGGGGGTATGGTGTTTCGAAAAGAAGGAATACGTGCCGTCTAAGAGTATCTGCGATAGAGAGCGACTCTTCAGGAGAAGGGCATAAAGCCATGCGCCATGCTGTACTGTACCATATCAAACCTAGAGTAGCACAGGAGATTCGTGTCGTCATGTGAGACTTTCCTCTCCTGCTGGGCACGGAAGAGAAGAGAAAAGGAAAAGGGAAAACCCCATCAACTTAAAACCCCCCCCATTCTCCCCTCTCACTCGTGGTAGAACACGATGCAATAGACCATATATCATACGAGCGTCAACATCTACCGGTACTCGAGTACAGTATGATACTGTAACAGTAACAGCGAACAGAGCAGCAGGCAGTAAAAGGGAAGTTTCAATTCTAGATCGAATCCACTTTCCAGAATCGGTAACTTTCTCTAGGGAAGTGAATTCCTCCCTTGGCGAGCTTATCCTAAATAGGCCTGGACCGTCCACCCTGCTACTGGCAAGTTATCTCAATTTTCCAACATCGCACCCCTCAAGTTATTTTCCATCGTTGTCCCCCCCACCAAGCCACTACTCCAGTAAGAACAAGCAAACTCCAACGACAGCCCTCCAATGGCTCCAGTAACAAGAGCCCGTCGAAGAAGGGACTCGATCCCTCTCGTCCCGGTCCTCGATGACCCCAACAGTCCCCATCCCGCCGCAGAACTCCCATTGCTCCAACGACTGGAAGGCTCAACAGCGCCCGCCTCCACGCCCTCCAAGCTGAAGAAACAAAAACCGATTGCGGAAGGCACAGGCGAGCACACCAGCGACATTGTAAACCAACCACCGCCTCCTCCACTGTCGCCGGGGAACGAACCAACCAATTCCACTGCGGCAGATTCCGAATCTGATTCCGACTCCGACGATGAAGCGCCAGAAGTAGTATCGCTAGACACCGGTCGGGAGGTTGTGGAAAAGGCACAAGATGAAGCAAAGCGAGCTGCGGAAGCGTAACCCCCCTCTCCTTCCCCGCCACCCCCTATCTAATATGTGAGTATGCGAAGGAGAATGACTAACTAAGGTTGGAAACAGCCAGGCAGACGCTGCCCGAAAAAAGCGAAAAGCTCACGGCGCAAAGCTAAAAGAACAAAAGGAAGAAGCGAACGAACGGAAGAAGAAGCGGCGCAAGGTTAATCCTGAGGACGAGGAAGAGGAGGTAGATAACTCCAGGGCATTGGCCATCACCGAGAAATCTACGGAACCTCCAGTGGATGGGGCAAATGTGGCGAATCCGTCCCCACTATCACCGCCGCCGGCAGAGCAACATCTCACAAAGTCAAACTCCCCGGCACTCCTCCCAGAGACACTCCTGGCGCAAGTAGCCGCAACAAAACGCCGCCACCACCAGGAAGAGCAACCAGACATATACCCTAACCCCGAACCCGGGCAAAAGAATCAAGTCACCAACACCGGCACTGGTGGTCGCAACGCAGAACGCAATCGCAGAAAGAAACAACGACAGAAGTTGAATAGAACGCTCAAAAAGGGCCCCGTCAGCGTCAAGGTGCTCAAGGACGATATGAAGTCTAGGAAGATACTGCCGCCACCTGCTGCTAAGACTGTCGGTAGCATTAAGGATTCCTGGTTGTTTGGGAGGAAGGCTGGGGGGGCTATGAGGAGGGATGTAGTTACGGGGTTTGTGAGGAAGTAAAGGAAGTGGCAGGCTCTGTTCGACCAATGGGCAGAAAGGCTTATGTTTGTTTGCTTGCTTGTTTGTGCCTGCTATGGGGTTGGTGTGTGTGTATGTGTGTAATGCTAGTAGTGACTTGGGCGCTTGGGGGTAACTGTGGGTCACCGGAAATCACTCACTGACTATCACGGTGAAGGAAATCGGGCCGGGCCTTTGTATCGTGGGTACGGCAGGTTTAGCGCAGGCGATCTTGTAGCAGTTGATTCAATCCATAATATCCTCACTCCACACCCAGCCAATCTAATCCAAGACCAAATCTATAATTCAAGTTAACTACGATACCAAATCCGAATACAATACCAAACCCAATCCAATACAACCGATCAATAACAATCTTAAAAATAACAATCTTAAACTTTTACAAGAATCTAGAAAGAGAAAGAAAAGGAAAGGAAAAAGAAAAAACAAATCTTGCGATCACACAATTTCGAATCTACTCCCCGACCCGCCTCCCTTGTGATAAATATATTCGGGATAGGCAAAGTGTCTAGTGGTGGTGGTGATGCCCAATCTGCGTTGCCAAGGGCAATAACATGCCCACCACGGCGGCGAGCGTGTCCTTCATAGTGGACTTTTGCCCGCCATTGCCTGGCTCGAGTTCGGACTGGCTTTGCATGGTGTGCATGGCAACGTACCTGCCGAATGTATTCCGAATTAGTCCAATGGTTCACCGGATAGGGAAAAGGGAGGGAAAGTACAAGAATGTTCCCCCACTAAACAGTAACAACACCCCCGTCCACCACTGCATTCCCTCGCCACTACCCTCACCCAGTAACCCGAGCAAGATCCAAGTAACGATCGCACCCACCGGCGCCGCCATCGAGAATATGATAAGATGGGCCCTCGCCTGCCTCTTTCCCAATCCTGCTCTCAGAAGGACAGCACTTAGTCCGAATGCCGCCGGGGCTTTGTGTAGCATAATGGCGAGAAACACAATCGCCTCCAGGGCAGTGTTGGAGCTCGTCGATGAAGCGCCCAGGGCAATCCCGTCAGCTGCAGCATGGATAACGAGGCCGAGGGTGGTGGACGAGGTTTTGGAATACGGATGTGAGGGGGAGGGACTGTCTAGTGGGGGCGAGGAGGCGGATAGGGAACGGAGGTTGTCGATCTCGATGTGGTAAGGTTGTGGGTTGTGCTTGTGCGCTTGGTGCGGGAGGACGTCGATTAAGTACATTAGGATGAAGCCAGAGATTAGTGATAGGCCGACCCACTTGTGCGCGGTTTCGGTGGAGTGCTCATGCTCGGGCTCGGGATCTGAGTGGGAGGATTTGGGTTCATGCTCGGAGTCGTGGTCGTGGCTGTGGCTGTGTGGTGGGGTGGTGGTAGTGTGGGTTTTTGTGTCAGAGGCTTCTATGGCTTTGGCGTCCCGGGAGTGATGGCGGGGTTGACGGGGGAGGTTTGCTGCATATTCGAACCAGGAAGCAGCAGGTGCGGCAGCAGTACGTCCGCGCAGCATTGGACCAGACGGAGAAGACATTGTTGGTGGTGGAGAGGTCTTAGCGCTGTATATGGTGTCTATACCCTCGGGTATGATGACTATCAGACTTGTACCCACTAGAACGCCCATTCCTACGGTTGAGATCAAGCGCAGTTGGGGGGGAGAGAGAGACACTGCTAACGGGAGCATTCCAGCGCCGAAGGAGCTGTTTCACTCGTTAGCGTTCACTTGGCGGCATATGACGGATAGAAGGAGGGGGGGTACGTTATGGCCATTACGATGCAGAAAAGCAGAAGTGTGAAGAGGCCTTCTGGCATGATGGTGATTGCAGTTATCACGGATTACGATAATGCAGGCAGGATACCGGTAACTATAGCTGCAGCTCTGTACCTTGGGAAGTGAGAGTGAGAGGGAGCGAGGGAGTGAGGGAGTGAGAGTGAGGGAGTGAAAGAGTGAGAGAGTGAAAGAGTGAAAGAAAGCGAGTGACAATGGTTGGTTGGTTAGTTAGCGATCTATTTGTTTGATGTCATCAAGTTCATTAGTCGTGAGGGGAGAAATGATGTCTTTTGGTCCAGATGATGTGAAGTGATGATGATGGCCAGGACCTACAAGAGACCCAGGACACCCGGGGAGATTGGGAGGTGATGCCCGGTGTGTAGCAGCAAATAAAAACTCTTGGCTTCAGGGGTTTCTCGGGATGCTTCAATTAACGTGTCTGGGAATACCAGCTTGTGTTTTGTATACAGTTTGTCACGTCTTTTTTTACATCAACGAAATAGGTGAGAGGAAGCTTGTCTATCCTATAATTCTCTCACGAATGGGATCATCTACATAAATATTGGTTAAAAGGCGAGTCTCATCGCATCGCTCTGTGGATCTACAGCACAGACAGAAAACACGGCTATCATACTGGTTCAAGCAACTACCGTATAAACAAGTAGTCTGCCAAGACTAGAGTATCTCACCCATAGAAAACGCGACTTCCCACCCAACCCTTTACCATCCTCATCTGTCTCCCCACTTACCACCATAACCACCATTCCGGCATTTTCCTCCCAAACACACACACCTTCTACCTGTTCCCCCTGCGACAGAACTAAATCAAATCGGGAGGGAGAAGGAGAGAGAAAAAAAACAATCACCATGGAGGAAGAATGGTCCGCCGACGCGAACGAAGCTATAGAGCTATCGCTCATCTCGACCACTAGTGGAAAACCAATAGCTACCTTCCATCCGCAGTTCACCTATGGGATCTTCGGGGATTCAGAAAATATATTCGGTTACAAGGATCCGAACTTGCAAATATCGTTTGCAGCGAACGACATGAAGTGTTGTCTAGATATTTCCTACGAGGACAAGATGGAACCGCAAGGCTCTGTGCAGGCGGAGGATTTAGAAGCGATTATTACGGATTTTCTTCCCGAAGGTATGACACCATTCTGGTCACCATGGCTCGGGGAGGGTAGAAGGGGGGGGGAGGGGAAACTAACGTCTTGCTCTAGATTGTGAGAAAGACCTCAAAGAATTCCAGACGAAAATCGCTCAACGTGATGATACAAAATGGAGCCCGCCTGGGGATAAAATCTCGGAATACACTCTTAAGGGGAGGACCTATGAGATCTGGCGCTCTACAATCGATGACGCATACTGTAAGAGCATTCTCAAGAATATACAAATCTTGATTACTCTTTACATCGAAGGGGGAACAGCGATCGACCTTGAAGACGAAGAATGGACCAACAAGCGCTGGGAAGTATTCTTCTTGTAAGTTCCCTTCCTTCTCCCGCCCTCTTCTATTACTCACACTAACAAACCCCGCTAGATATGAGAGATCTGCAGCCAACCACACCTTCATCGGCTACTGCACCTGCTACCGCTACTACCTCTACAATCCCAAGTCGCCCGACACCAGCCGCATCCGGATAAGCCAATTCCTTATCCTCCCACCATTCCAACACCAAGGTCACGGCAAGAACCTGTACAACAGCTTAATCACTCACTTTCTCACTATAACCTCAATCCAAGAAATAACCGTCGAAGACCCCAGCGAGGCCTTCCAAAACCTGCGCGACATCCAAGACCTCCATCGGCTAACCCCAGCCCTTACGCGATCAAACCTGACCCCACAATCATTCTCCAACAAGTCCTTCCCCGGCGCGGATATCCGCACCCGGGCGAAGTTGCCCGTGCGCCAGTTCGCACGTGTGTGCGAGATGTTCATGCTCCAGGGGATTGAAAAGGGCGATGAGAAGAGCATGAAGGTCTTCCGCTTACTGGTCAAGGCGAGGATATACAAGCAGAACAAGGATGTGCTCGCGCAGTTGGATCGTCTAGAGAGGATTGATAGGCTGCATGATACGTATTTGCATGTTGAGGATGAGTACAAGGGATTGCTGATTGCTGCCGGGGCCGCTCCTGTCGAAGAGGAGGAAGTGGAGGAGATAGAAACGGAGAAGAAGCGTTCTGCTAATGGTGATGGGGGGAGGGCTTCTAAGAAAGTTAGAGTTGCGGAGTAGAACTATCGTATTAGCAGCATATTTGGGATGCTTTCTTTGTGGCCCATTCTTCCATCTTCCATTTTCTCTTTTTCTCTCCCCCCTCGTATCTAATTTTCTCTTGATTAGGGGGAGGCAATGAGCGACCGGTGGCATTTCTTATGATATCTCTTTTTTCTTTTTTTTTTTCCTTTGTTTCCCTTGTGTACGTTTACGGCGCACGACTGATGGAGAGGTTAATGGCTATTACGCACATACCCGCAAAGCTCTCCAAGCCCCCGACCCCCACACTGCGAGTGACGTACTGTGATTACACGCCGATGAGAACTCCGTGTAAATTTAAACTCCGTTGCAACCCTTCGTATGATACTGTCCCAAGAGCCTATGTTCAGAACCGCAGAAGTGCAGGCAGTCACACAGCGCCCGATTCCAGGAACAGGGAGAGGACAGGAACGAATCGCGGGAGGCGACCCCGACGGTATGATGCTTGTACGAGTAAAGCAAGCCTCAACGCCAGGCCGCATCAGTCGAAGATAGACCATGAGAAACCAAAAATCACAAAGAGAAAGCCATCAGTCCATTTCATGCTGCCCACCGAAACCCTGCTCGCAGGCCCAGCCACACCGTTGCCATCGCCCGGAAGTCAGATTTGATTCAAATTCAGGTGGCACACTGGATATGGTACTACTTGCTGTACATTTGAGAGTCACCATTTCGAGCTCGGAGTGGTTTCTGGGGTTTCCGCTGTGCTGTCTACGTGGTGCGTACAGTACCCCTCACTTCGTACGGGGTGTCGTGGGTGGGAAGCCGGAGTTGCAAACGTTCGTATCGTGAGGGCGAGCCGATTGCGCATGTCCTATCATGGCAGAGGTGGTACAGATAGATGGCTGTACTTGGGTGTAGGGGTATCTCGGGCGCGGTAGAACAAGGCTCTATCCCTGCCATTGTGCCCCTTTTCCGAAGGTAGTACTGTACAGCCTCCGGTCGAAAAAATCGGGAAATCTACAATTCAACTGTCTGTGCAAAGTCTGTGCAAAGTCTGTGTTGAACCAGGCTTTGATTGGTTGTTAGAATGTCAGTATTACTTAAAGAAGGGAGAGAAGGAAGAGTTCCAGCGTCGGTAGTCAGGTAACAACTGCTGCAATGGGTGACCTTAGCTATAAGCAACAATGCACAATACATGCCTTGCGGTTTACTGTGGGTTGGACACTACAGCAAATAGTGGAGAGCCAGAACAAACTGATATCAACAGTTGAATGAATATGCACTAGGCCAGCAACACCACAAAAAAAAGATCCCGGGTTGGTCGAAAGCTTAACTCAGCTCCACAATGATGAGAACTGGTAGCTTTAGCTACTTCAGATGCTGAATACCGCCATATGCGTCTAGTTGATATCGCCTGGAAGCTAGGAATTGAGGCCAGTGAGAAAGCTTTGCGAAATACCTTCGCCAAGGAGGGTTACCACTGACACTCTGCCCGCCAAAAGCCTTACCTCAACAAAGTCAAACATGGAAAGCATCTTACCTTTACCTTGAGCCATTCTTATTAGAGTTTACTAGAGTGGAGGCATGTGATATGGATGGATGAATGTTATGTTTGGCTGAGAGGGTTGCAAGGAAAGGTGTATGTTACTTGTACAGTACATGAAGAGTGGTATGAGGACTGTTTAGTTCCAAAATTTCAAAAAAAGGACTCTGTTATGATATGGGGAGCCATATTAGGTGATGGAGGAAAAAAGGTTTTGGTTATTTGGGAAAGGGATGATTGGAGCACAATCTCAGTCAAAATCAATATTAATCATATTCTTGTTCCTACGATCTGGCCATTCTGGTACCATTAGAGCTGCCATATAGGTTCTTCTCTTTGGCTCATGGAGGATGGAGCATTATCTGATCAGGCCCATCTTACATAATCCTACTGTGACTACTACAAAATCCCCTTCCTGAAATGGCCGCCATTTTCCCCTAATCTAAACCCTATCAAAAATATATGGAACCTGATTAAGACTCGTGTCAACCAATGCCAACCAAGACTCAAAGGCAGAACACAAGTCAAAGAGGCCTTAATCAATAAGTCGAGCAAGATCACAATTGAGGAAATTGTAAAGTTAGTTGACAAAATGCCGGAGCGGATTCAGGACGTGATTAGTGCTAATGGTGGGTATACATGGTAGTGAGTGTACTGTAGAAAGCTGAAAGTGTCTTGTATTTTAGAGTTTAATTACAGATTCCTATATGTCTTACCCCCCTGTCTGCTCCCCTGTCTTACCTACCTGTTTCCCGATTTTTCTTGCTAGGGGCTGTAGTAGGTGGAAAATTGCAACCACACTCTGGGCACTGCAACCACACTCTGGACACGTATAAACATCTTGACATGAAGCAAAAAGCAATATGCAAACAACAGCCAGAGGGCGTGAGGTACCATGAAATGACCTGGAATAAACAGATCAAGGTAATTACCTTACGGGAGGCAGAGTGGAGTTGGACAAAGATTGGTAATTAATTAAATATTGATAGACGAAGGTGTCAGAAGGTAAATAAAGATGCATATAGTAGCCTAAAAGGTATGAAAGAACTAAAAAGATATAAAAGAGCTAATAAATAGAGACTAGATCTATCAACAGGTAAGGAAACAGGCACGCCTTCAGATCAACACCATACTAGCTGGCCTCCAATATCTGATGACACTAAGAAGCAGCGGTTTGAAGCCTTTGTTATACACGATGCAAGAATATGATGTATGAGTTGAGATATTATCTGTATTGAGATGAATTATGCCTGCAGTCCAGATACGGTCAAGAGGATAATGCACTCTATGGGATATCACCGACGAGTTCCTTGACAAAAATTCGGAATCCACCCATTTAGCTGTCCAATCTGTGTGGCTTGGTGCCAGGAGCGATTAAAATGGACCTGGGATGATTGGCTTTGAGTACTTTGGACTGATGAATCAACCTTTTCCAACCTTGGCTTTAGCAATCGATCCTGAGTAACATGCAAGCCTTCAGAAGAGTATCATCCCAACTGTGTTGATGAGACCTTTGAGTCTGGTAGGAAATCAAAAATGGTTTGTGGAGCCTTTTGTGGTACCCTAAAGTCTGATCTGGTTTTTATCCCTGGTAAAGCCAAGGTAGACTCTGTAGTGTATGTGGAGATGGTCATGGAACCGCAATGGATCCCATTCTGGTATAAGGCTTGCGAGGAATATGGGTGGGTTGGTGTAGTGGAAGATGGTGCCCCTGGGAGTAAAGGAGCAGTCAGACAATACCGGCAACTAAATGAGATGGAATCCATCAAATGGCCAGCCCAGTCCCCATTTCTGAACCTTATAGAAGCCCTATGGCTAGATATGGAGTCAGAACTGGGGGAGACCTGGGGAAGGATTGGGAATATTCCAGCCTTGGAATGAGTGTTGGAATGTGTTTGGCAGGAGATCCCTGGTAAATGTCTGCTAGACTTGATTGATAGTATGCCTCAACAGTTGCAGGCTGTTATTGATGCTGGGGGAGGTGCGACGGTATATTAGTTGACTCGGGGGTAACAGATAATTTATTAGTTTAATCTAGTGAATCGCTTGTAGGCTCTATAGAAAAAGTGAAAATGCGACCGTGGTCACAAGATATCACTCGGCTCTCTCAAAACCAGAAGTGCGCTTCTTTTGCTGGCCTGCAACAGTATTCATCACCAATCACTCGACTTTCCTAATCTGTTTTAGCTCCCATAGAACTACCCATGTAACTACCCCCCCGATCCGGAAGTGCGCCCGACTTATGCCTACCCCCGAGTACAGTACTTGATTCCGGGAATGTGGTAGGGTTGGGTCGTGAGGGGTGGATCTTGAAATATGAAATGGAATATTGTGGACGGAGGATATAGCATACTCAGAACGTGGTACAGTACAGTTGGTTTGCGTGAATATTTGTCAAATATAGCACTCGACAAAGTAAGCCCCGGTCCAGGTCGGCGAAACGTATGTGGTAGGAGGTATACTATACGATAGTACTTCCAGAATTGCTTGTGCAGTCACGTCAATCGGGGGGAAAAATGGCCAGTATCAAAATTTCGATACTGTTCTATGCATCTCTACTAGGCTACCACACAAACTCTAACCGCCAGTATCATGCCCAAAGCAATCCTTCTCCAAGGCCAAGAAACAAAAGCAACCTTGATATACCGTGCGATAACACATCACTACCCAAAACGCCCGGAGTCAAAACAAAAACACAATGACGGCAATAAACACTGCTGAGAGCAGTAACAACGGCTATCAAACATTGAAAATCAAGAAGCTTGCCAAGCTTCCTGTTGCAAGGCCAGCCACCAGGCACATTCCTGGTCTGTTGTTAGCGGTGTTACTAACTAAGAGGAACAAAAAGGAAGGAAGGAAATACCCATAAAACCGCCACTGGCTTCTTTCTCGTCATCGTCAACCCATCCAGGTGTTGACATCATGACATTACTCCCAACCCATCCGTTTGACATTCCGAATGTGAACTGGACAAGCCAGTAGAAGAGATCGCTCGAGATCACGGCTCCGTGGCCCTTGATGTTGCACATCGTGTACAGAGGGATGAATACCAATCGGGCTATGGAGATCAATGCGAGAAGCTTCGGTCTGTCGCAGGCGAACCTCCGCCATCCGCAGACTACTCGTCCAGATAAATCGCCCAAGTTCCAGAGCATGAACCCGATAGGGATGAATACGTCCGGTTTAAACATTCTGGGAGACGAATCCTCTGGGCGGACCGAAAGAATTACTTGGGTGTAGACTGGGAACACCATTGTTACGAGGAAACACAGCCATACTGCGAAAGAAAGGTATTTTAGTTTCTTCAAGAGGACCCACAGAGATACTTGGGTGTGGGTTTCTGGAGTAAGGTCTTCTGAGTCAATGACTTCGGAACCGGATTTGTGTGGGGAGATGCGGTGACGGGAAAGTAATAGTAGGAATAGAAGCAGGCAGGAACCTGAAACGAATGTTGCCGTAAGGAAGTATATAAATGCGGACTTGGGCGATGCCGTGCTCCCCTCAGTGCCCGGAGACTGAGGGATCGCTAAAACCGATATGATTTCTGGATGTATTTTAGTATGCATTTAGGCGTATATTGTAGGGTATCGGGTCAGGATTCACATACGGGCTATTGCGGGAAGAACACCAGCAACTCCTTGGCCACTGTATTAAACTTGGATTTAGCTACTAATTCACACCGATGTATCTATGGGGTAACAAACGTCATGATTGCTTGGGTATATATTCCGTCAAACTTGTTGACAAATGCAAATATCCCGTTCTGACTCAAACCTGCGCTCCAGCTCGCCCAGAATACGCAGGTCAACAGAATGGTGATGTACGCTTCCGGCCCAACTCTAAACACAACCGCGGATAAAGCCAGCACCGTAGACACACCACAGTTAATCACCAGCGAGGCACATATCCTCCAAGGATAGCTTGCGGATTTTTGGCGATACGAGAGGTATACCGCAGATCCCAAGTTCGTTATCGTGCTTACCGCTAGGATGAGTGACTGGAAGTTGTTCAGGAGAAACTCGTTCTGTGTGCCTTGTCAAACAGCCGCACGGTTCGGTGCAGGAATCACGAAAGCTCTCACCTCAGCGAACCGGCGCTGGAAATATGTAGCGCATGCCATAAACATGTTCCAGCTCCACAGCCTGTATTCCATAAGTTTATGTTAATCTAGGCTTCCTCCGCGGTAAAAGGGGTTCTACATAGCTACCCCCAAGGACAAGAAGATAAAATACTCAAATCGAGAGACACGCTGTGCCTTCGACGAGCTCATATCCTCCCGCTCATCCTGGTCCTCCAAAGGCTCGTAGGTCGGTTTCCACCATTCTCTGAGTCTCTGCATGGTGTATGATGTCGATGAATGCGAGTCGGGTACTACTACCTCCAACGCTGAGAAAGTGGATGGAGTTGAAGGGGAATGATAAGGGGAGGGCGGGGAAGGAGATCTAGGAGGTGGTTGAAGCGTGATGCTCGTCCTGCTGTTCGGGGTCATAAGGTCAATTATGGTTGGGAGTAGGGCATAGAGGCGTTAGATTTGGACCGTTTGCACGTCGGGAAGGCTCACCTGGCTTGCGCACCTGCCGACACACCTGAAACCCACACCAACGCCACTCCCCAGACAAAGATCCACCAGAACCGGGGGCGGAAAGCCCCGAATATGCTTACCAGTACCATACTGTGTCATAATACAGTACAAGTACCGTACTCGAGTAGAGATACTGCATTATTATTTTCGCCGTCCAAGCAATAGCCTCCCCGGGGTTTTTTTATTTTGTATTTTAACCAAGGCTTAGTATCATACTCGAGTAGAATAATGGTGGCTAACCCCATAGAAGAATATGAACCGCGGCCATCGTTCCCCGCTGCATCAGAGAAAACTGTAAGAGATGCAGGAAACCAATGCAAAGGCCAGGTAGGAGATGCTGATGCTGCGCTGGCGATCATCTGGTGCAAGGGGTCATTCCCATGGCAACCGAATCATATCCATATCATGCTATGATACCGATGAGTTCTATGCTCGAGCAGTCTTCTGTGGGCATCATACCGATCGAGTGAGCCCTACTGGTGTTACCATTCACAAGCACACTACAAGTAGTACAGGTGCTGCACGGCCGAAAGGGACCTGGCAGACTCACGCGGACAGCCTTTGTGACAATAAAGTGGGTGAGACGGTAGACTATAGGCGAGCATCATGAAATCCTATGGTGAAACATCTCACGGGTGTTCAATCAAATTTTATTATCCCGACACCGCCGAACCAGCATGCGGCAGGTGATAGATAACCTATAGAAAATCGGACCTCTACCTAGTTATCGCTGTAGGTACGAGTATGATAATAGAGATCCCGCTTGGAAAATTTGTGAGCGGGTACTTTTAGATACGGAGAATCGGAATATATAATTATCCTTTCATAATAAAAAGTTTCAAGTTATTGCTCCTCCATCGTGTTCTTAAGAGTAATATTCTTGGATAAAATATCTATGATCTGCTTCTAAGCATATCAAAAATCTCGGAAAGATTTTCGGACACTAATAGGAGGAGAAGCATTTATGGATACTCTTCTAAGATATAGGTACCTACTTGGGCTAAGGAAGAGAGATACTAGAATGACGACTCAGCTTCGAGTGGTAGTACAAGGGTAGATCATGAATTCATAGTACAGTGCATAAGTAACGTCTTAGTAGGTGTAGTACACTTACAATATAATATCATGAGAATAGTGTTTTCATTTTGGACTAGGAAGATCAATCAAGTAAAATCATAGTGAGGAATATTAATAAATTTATAAGTTCATTAAATCAAACAATCTTAAAGGCAAATTGTAGTGCGGTAAGTGACTCCTTAAAACCTAGTTCCATTTTATACACTTCATGAGCTATTGGTCAACTCAAACCTATGTAGAGGAGATTATGCTATTCATGAAAATGTCATTACCTATATCTAGAGAATATATTGGTATACTATTTAATATTGTATTTCTTGCCTACAGATGTAATAACTGAAAACACCTACAACTTGAGGTGAGAGGATATCTCGGTAAAAGGTTTGGTTTAAGAGGTTCTGCACCACAAACATATTTCTTCTGTGAAATGTTACTTTAGTTGCAGTGTACCAAAGTGCCGCCTAAAATCACCTCTCACTACTCCTGCTCTGTACTATGAATTCATGATCTACCCTGGTACCTTCAGAACTCAAAGAGCATTCTTATAAAGTTTAGTCAACACCACCTAAATCCTAAGGGAATTGGAAGCTCTTGAATTATAAAAGACAGTAGCTAGTGAACGAAACTATGATAGTAATATCCTGTTGAAGGAAGCTATATAACATGACTACACAGTAGTAAAAAGATAGAAGTTGTAAAGCAGAAAACTTGATAAAACAGGTAATGGAATTGAAACAAAAACAAGTGGTTACTAGTAGTATGAGTAGAGTGGTACTCTGATAGTAGTCTAACAGTACTTGTAGTGTAAGAGAGAATACCAGAATACCTAACTGGTAGGAATACCAGGATCTGATACCTAGGAACCACCCTAAGTAGGGTAACCCCTCTCAGAATTGCAACTCATGGTTTCCAACACCCCCCTCAGGCCAGCTTACGTGGCCTGCACATTATCATATATATCAACCTCAGTTGCATCCTATGACTATAATGCCAGAGAATTAAAGATGTACAAATAATACTGTTTGTGTTACTGCTATCCGTCTGACCGGATCCTGTTCGTAGGATATATGGGAGGAGACCTTTGGCTAGGTCTGAGAAGTAGAACGGAGTAATTCTGCCAACTACTCAGGAGGTTACTAGGCTACAGAAATGTGATGTTATTGGCATGGGCTGTAGGTAACAGGATGTTTTCGCACGAAGAGATGGTATTATGCATAGATAAAATTACCCGCAATTCAACAGAGAAAATCTTCAATGATGACAACGACACTCACCCACCAATCCACTATCATTCAAAACAAAAAAAAAATTAAAAGATGAAAATATATATAGTAGAAATTAATATTTGATATACTATCTAGTAGCCTTAATAATTGCCACTATTCTATCCACCATTGATCCAGCTAAAGTATCAAAAACCTTTGGGTCAAGAAGTTCCCAACAATGAGTGATGGCCTCTACTATTGCCTTCTTGACTACATTGACATTACTCTTCATAAGATATAGCTCAGAGTAGTGCTTATGAAGCTTACCTTTTACCAGAGACCAAATATTTTCAATTGGATTGAAATCTGGTAAATAGGCAGGAATTTCCATCAGTGTAATTCCCTGCCCTCTGAGCTATCTCCTAAAAGGCAAGTGAGTCTTAGCATTGTCAATGATAACAATACCTCTTCTTCTTCAGCCTTTTCTCTGATATTCTCCCATATTCCTAGAAAGTCATAAAGATTATAAACATCAATAATTGACTTCCCAGTAACTCCACCCCTAGCTGAAGAAGGATCAGGAAAAACAGGCAAAAAAAGACCATGTGTTTGACTATAAAAACAACCAGTCATCATCTGGCTAATCCCTCTCTCCTCTCTTTTAGCCTTAGGTTCAATACAATTCTTATTCTATTTCTCATATATATATCTGAAAACCCATTTTCTCCTCTTTTCTCTTCTCCTTTTCACCGCTACCTCATCTGTTAGGCAGAGACAACTTGATAGACTTCAAAGTTGTCTAGGCCAATCGAGATTCGTTTCGGTAGATGGAGATTGTCTAGGAAGGCTCAGACTTTGCTCGTTTCGTTTATGACTACTAGGAGTGAAGTAGAATAGGTAAAGTAGGGTAGAATCATAAAAACAATATTATATTGTTAAGGTCTCTTCTCCATTGCTTGATTATGTTTAAAGCTTGGGAGGTACTTCGATATTTATATTCCGCGTCTGAGTATTCGCGGACTACATCTATTTATCATCCAACTATGTACTTCTTCAATCATGATTCACGATGTCGAGTTTTCTTCCAAGGTGCGAATACCTGTAGACCCTGAAAACTATCACACCCTCTTCAGTAATTACGATATTTCTTCTTGGGAAACGTGCTGTCCCCAATAGTAATATCGTGATTAGCAGAGTCTTTAGACTTATGGCCTAGTTCTTAAGTCGAACTGAGTAGGCCCCAATTGTCTTCGCCATTGATAGAAGGATTGGTTTTATCCACGGCTATATTTGCAAAGGTGGTCGTCATTACAACTATCGTAGGTTGTCTAACTCTGATCCTTTATAACTCCATACCCAACCAATAGATTTTCTCTGGATGACTTCCTATTAATTTGCAGGAAGCTATTCCACCAGATTGGTAATTAATCCCTCGGTTGGCAACCCTTGGTTGCTCTTTGGGTAGTAGGTTTCAGTTACCATTGTAGTATTGAGAATCCCCTCATGGTTACGACGTGTTCCGAAACCCAGTTGCAACACTCCGTGAAGTTCGTTGGCTTCTTTGGTAGTGTCTTTTGGAGTTCTAGACTCTTCTGGTAGATGTAAATGTATTGGCCTCTAGTAGAAATCCTTTACCATTTGATACCATCTCTTTGTGCGAAATCGTCCCGTTACTTACGGCCCACCCCAAAGGTGTCATGTCTTTGAAGCCAAGTAACTTTCTGAGTAGTTGATGGAATTACTCTGTTCCACTTCCCAGGCCTAGCCAAAGGTCCCCTCTCATATGTCCTGTGAACAGGATCCGGTCGGACAGACGGCGACGACGTATATGGTGTTATTCTAACACCTTCAATTCTGTGATAATATAGTCACAGGACACAACTGAGATTAATATGTATGATGACGCGGGGGCCCCGTAAGGGAGCCGGAGGGGAGTGTTGGAGACCAGAGATTCCGATTCCAAGTGGGGTTACCCTACTTAGGGTGGTTGCTAGGTATCGGGTTCTGGTATTCCTAACATCATCCCCCCATATTATATTCCTTCTCCACATCTTCTTTGTCCAATGCCTATAAGCTAATGCCCATTCCAACCTCTCTTGAGTTAGATTCTTATCCAAATGAACTCTCTCTTATGCTATCCACTTTTCAAGATGCTTTTTTTCAAGTATTCTCCTTACTGTTCTACTAGAAACATTGGGAGCAACTTACTCAATGATGTCAGAATAAGTGGTATAGCGATTTTTGAGAGCTTGCTCCACCATAGCATCATCTTGTGACTTGGTAGTTTTAGGATATTTTCCTCTACCATTATTCTCCTTGTCCTCCTGATATTTCTTTGCAATTGTGTCTCTGACACTAGTGTAGGGGATATTAAGTTAGTGGAAAATTTACTGATATCTTATCTGAGCCTTGTGTAACTCAAGAATCCTTCCCTTGGTAAACTCAGAGAAATATATAGGGAGAATAGGTTTTTTGTCATGACTGCAAAGAATAGGAGGCATAGTTTATTGAAAAAAGAATTGAGCAGAATGATTTCATCTTGGTTGACTTTGAGCAATATTTTTAGGTATTGTTGAGAGTGCGGGGTGATGAAGAGGGGTGGGTTGCTATCAATTGTTGAATCGT